TGTATTTAAAATCTGCAATTCATGTTTATAAATATTTACTTATTAAAAAATCTTTTTATTTGGGTTAATTTAGTTTGCGAGTATAAAGATTATTTATTAATCTATGTATTTAAAATCTGCAATTCATTACGTCGGATCCAGGGTGATGATTTTCTCTTCACATTGTACTATAGTTCTGATCTAATTAGCCAGAAGATCATGTGAACCCAAACTAGTACACGTTTTAAGGGGGCAATGCAGCATACAAATATAGAAATCTCTAATCACGACAATGATCATCCAATCAGATACAAAAGAGACACACCACTTAACTCTTTCATAAACCATATACTTCGTATTTCATACTCCATTCCTGGTATAGCTTAGCTCAAGTGATCTAAAATTGATCTGATTCAAGTTAGCTTTGGGTTATTCTAAATACCTTGTTCAGATCACTACTTTTAAATGGAATATGAAGCTATTCATAAGCAATTTTACGATCAAATCACCACTTTTAATCACAATAATCACACTATAATTTTATATATTACTGGCTTATATTCTATTTAATCTCATCGTTCAATCTAAATAATCGCAGAATTGAAAATTTCTGCTCATATGATTCATAAATATTTATTTATTATACTTAATTTGTCTAGTGAGTATAAAGATGGCTTATTAATTATCAGAACTAAGCCAGCAAATCATGAATACTTACTTATTTCTTTATCAGAGAATTTCACCTTAGAATCTTCAGATGTAAGGATATAATAGAATGAATTCCATTTGAATGCGAAGTAATTAGAGATCACGTGTTTGAAAGGGAGCAGCTACACCATATAACCTTGCAACTACTATCAGGTGACCTTGATAGGCCGAAGACCAGAAAAGTGACTAAATAGAAAGAAACTGGGCGTAGGAAAACTAAAGACAATGTATGCCATTGCATATGTCAGGTACAGAATAAGTAAGTAATGAAAGGCACTAGAATGTGAATAAGTAAGTATAAGAATTAATTTCACAGAGTCCAAATCCATTAGTGCTTGAAGGGAGAAAACTTTTGCGACCCACTCAAATGAGAGCACGTGATCCTATCATTTCTTTGCTCACAGCTGGCTAATTCTACAGTGACTCTCTGCGCAATAATACTTGTTTCTTTTGCAGGAGGCCAATGTTATTCTGGCTAAATCGGTAATTACTTACTTCTCAATAATGTATCCTGCTAATCTTAAATTTAATAAAAATCGCTTCTGGCCTAAATTATTTGCTGGTCTAAAAAATCATTATTATTAATTAATTACTACAAATAGTTGTGTAACACAATTGTATATTCTGCAACCTGGTTAGATGATGTATGAAAAATTGATAGTAATAAATATGGAGGATGATCATGAAATTGGATGATGCTGAAAATTTTATTTATTTTATTATGAAATTTTAAAATGTTTTAGGGTCTTTTTTGTAGCCTTTTTTTTAGGGTTAGGGTTTAGAGATAGAGTTATGAATAAAGAGTATATGTGTATTATAAATTTAAATGGAACCCTAAATTTCACATTATCTGATTTAACGATCATCCCCCACAATTAATACAATTACATAAAAGCATGTGAACCATCCAGCACAGTTGCATTTAAGACTTTGTCTGGTTCTAAGGAAAATTTTTAAATGAAGTAAGTAAGTTTAGTGCTCAGCAAAATCAAACAAAAAGTTTGATTGTCAAATACTTGATCAATCGAATATCAAATAGCTGACTTTAAATCAAATTATACCGATATATAATTTTAAAATTATATGTTAGTATAATTTGATTTAAAGTTAGCTATTTGATATTCGATTGATCAAGTATTTGACAATCAAACTTTTTGTTTGATTTTGCTGAGCACTAAACTTACTTACTTCATTTAAAAATTTTCCTTAGAACCAGACAAAGTCTTAAATGCAACTGTGCTGGATGGTTCACATGCTTTTATGTAATTGTATTAATTGTGGGGGATGATCGTTAAATCAGATAATGTGAAATTTAGGGTTCCATTTAAATTTATAATACACATATACTCTTTATTCATAACTCTATCTCTAAACCCTAACCCTAAAAAAAAGGCTACAAAAAAGACCCTAAAACATTTTAAAATTTCATAATAAAATAAATAAAATTTTCAGCATCATCCAATTTCATGATCATCCTCCATATTTATTACTATCAATTTTTCATACATCATCTAACCAGGTTGCAGAATATACAATTGTGTTACACAACTATTTGTAGTAATTAATTAATAATAATGATTTTTTAGACCAGCAAATAATTTAGGCCAGAAGCGATTTTTATTAAATTTAAGATTAGCAGGATACATTATTGAGAAGTAAGTAATTACCGATTTAGCCAGAATAACATTGGCCTCCTGCAAAAGAAACAAGTATTATTGCGCAGAGAGTCACTGTAGAATTAGCCAGCTGTGAGCAAAGAAATGATAGGATCACGTGCTCTCATTTGAGTGGGTCGCAAAAGTTTTCTCCCTTCAAGCACTAATGGATTTGGACTCTGTGAAATTAATTCTTATACTTACTTATTCACATTCTAGTGCCTTTCATTACTTACTTATTCTGTACCTGACATATGCAATGGCATACATTGTCTTTAGTTTTCCTACGCCCAGTTTCTTTCTATTTAGTCACTTTTCTGGTCTTCGGCCTATCAAGGTCACCTGATAGTAGTTGCAAGGTTATATGGTGTAGCTGCTCCCTTTCAAACACGTGATCTCTAATTACTTCGCATTCAAATGGAATTCATTCTATTATATCCTTACATCTGAAGATTCTAAGGTGAAATTCTCTGATAAAGAAATAAGTAAGTATTCATGATTTGCTGGCTTAGTTCTGATAATTAATAAGCCATCTTTATACTCACTAGACAAATTAAGTATAATAAATAAATATTTATGAATCATATGAGCAGAAATTTTCAATTCTGCGATTATTTAGATTGAACGATGAGATTAAATAGAATATAAGCCAGTAATATATAAAATTATAGTGTGATTATTGTGATTAAAAGTGGTGATTTGATCGTAAAATTGCTTATGAATAGCTTCATATTCCATTTAAAAGTAGTGATCTGAACAAGGTATTTAGAATAACCCAAAGCTAACTTGAATCAGATCAATTTTAGATCACTTGAGCTAAGCTATACCAGGAATGGAGTATGAAATACGAAGTATATGGTTTATGAAAGAGTTAAGTGGTGTGTCTCTTTTGTATCTGATTGGATGATCATTGTCGTGATTAGAGATTTCTATATTTGTATGCTGCATTGCCCCCTTAAAACGTGTACTAGTTTGGGTTCACATGATCTTCTGGCTAATTAGATCAGAACTATAGTACAATGTGAAGAGAAAATCATCACCCTGGATCCGACGTAATGAATTGCAGATTTTAAATACATAGATTAATAAATAATCTTTATACTCGCAAACTAAATTAACCCAAATAAAAAGATTTTTTAATAAGTAAATATTTATAAACATGAATTGCAGATTTTAAATACA